CTGATATGCCCGCCTGGTGTTGGGGGGAGGTGGTGGGGGCAAGGAGGGAAGGGAGAATGGTGAGGGGAAGTGCGTGGGGTGAGCAACGGTGCAGATGAATATGAAGAGCACCAACACCACTGATATGCCCGCCTGGTGTTGGGGGGAGGTGGGGGGGGGGCGCAGGGAGGATGGAGAAGGACGAGTGGAGACGGGAAGAGCGTAGAGTCAGCAATGTTGCAGACGAGTATGAAGAGGACGAACACCACTGATATGCCCACCTGGTGGTGGGGAGAGGGAGAGAAGAGAAAGAGGTGGAGGGGGCAGGGAGGAGGCAAGAGCGTGGCACAGATGGATATGAAAGCATGAGCACGGGATGCACCCCCCCATCCACCCATCCACCCACCCACTCGCTCACCCACGCACCCACACACCAGCACAGCAATCCGCGCACCTGCCACCGGTCGGTAATAATGGACAATAGAGCCCTCCAATAGCTCTGTGTGCTGAGTCGCCTTAACACCCAGCCACTCACGCACACAGCCACCCCTCCCTCTCCCCTTTCCCCCTCCCACCCACCCACCCACCGCCCACCCACGCACACCATCCGCGCACCCACCACCCGCACAATCCGCGCACCCACCACCCGCACAATCCGCGCACCCACCACCCGCACAATCCGCGCACCCACCACCCGCACAATCCGCGCACCCACCACCCGCACAATCCGCGCACCCACCACCCGCACAATCCGCGCACCCACCACCCGCACAATCCGCGCACCTGCCACTGGTCGGTGATAATGGACACGTAGAGCCCTCCGATGGCGGTGTAGGTGAGCGAGACGAGGCCTATAACGAGGATGATGGGCAGGCTCTTGGAGCCGATGATGTCCGTGAAGAGACTGCCCACGGCCGTGTACTCCGCTGTGATGGCCACTCCCATGTTGAACAGCATCAGCGCGGAGACGTACAGGGAGATGACGCTGGGAAGGGAGGATAGCAATGGAGAAGAGTGGAACAAGGACGGGAAAGTGGAGGGGAGATGGAAAGGAACGATGACAGGAGGTAATGGGTAGCATTGAGAGGTAATGGGTAGCATTGAGAGGTAATGGGTAGCATTGAGAGGTAATGGGTAGCATTGAGAGGTAATGGGTAGCATTGAGAGGTAATGGGTAGCATTGAGCACAAGGGAATGGGTAGCATTGAGCACAAGGGAATGTGTAGCATTGAGCACAAGGGAATGGGTAGCATTGAGCACAAGGGAATGTGTAGCATTGAGCACAAGGGAATGTGTAGCATTGAGCACAAGGGAATGTGTAGCATTGAGCACAAGGGAATGGGTAGCATTGAGCACAAGGGAATGTGTAGCATTGAGCACAAGGGAATGTGTAGCATTGAGCACAAGGGAATGTGTAGCATTGAGCACAAGGGAATGTGTAGCATTGAGCACAAGGGAATGTGTAGCATTGAGCACAAGGGAATGTGTAGCATTGAGCACAAGGGAATGGGTAGCATTGAGCACAAGGGAATGTGTAGCATTGAGCACAAGGGAATGTGTAGCATTGAGCACAAGGGAATGTGTAGCATTGAGCACAAGGGAATGTGTAGCATTGAGCACAAGGGAATGTGTAGCATTGAGCACAAGGGAATGTGTAGCATTGAGCACAAGGGAATGTGTAGCATTGAGCACAAGGGAATGTGTAGCATTGAGCACAAGGGAATGTGTAGCATTGAGCACAAGGGAATGTGTAGCATTGAGCACAAGGGAATGTGTAGCATTGAGCACAAGGGAATGTGTAGCATTGAGCACAAGGGAATGTGTAGCATTGAGCACAAGGGAATGTGTAGCATTGAGCACAAGGGAATGTGTAGCATTGAGCACAAGGGAATGTGTAGCATTGAGCACAAGGGAATGTGTAGCATTGAGCACAAGGGAATGTGTAGCATTGAGCACAAGGGAATGTGTAGCATTGAGCACAAGGGAATGTGTAGCATTGAGCACAAGGGAATGTGTAGCATTGAGCACAAGGAATGTGTAGCATTGAGCACAAGGAATGTGTAGCATTGAGCACAAGGGAATGTGTAGCATTGAGCACAAGGGAATGTGTAGCATTGAGCACAAGGGAATGTGTAGCATTGAGCACAAGGGAATGTGTAGCATTGAGCACAAGGGAATGTGTAGCATTGAGCACAAGGGAATGTGTAACATTGAGCACAAGGGAATGTGTAGCATTGAGCACAAGGGAATGGGTAGCATTGAGCACAAGGGAATGTGTAGCATTGAGCACAAGGGAATGGGTAGCATTGAGCACAAGGGAATGTGTAGCATTGAGCACAAGGGAATGTGAGGGGTAGACCCAACCCCTCAGAGCCACATGCAGAAGCGGCGGGCCATGCCATGGGGACTCATGAGAGGGAATGTGAGGGCACGAGGCGGCTACTCGCTTGCCACAGCACAAACCCCCTAAGCTCCGAACATTGCAAACCCAGACACCCCCCCACCCGACGACTCACAGGCCTAAGCGGTGGCGCACATAGTCTGCCATGGATACGACGGACGGCACGAGACGGTGGATGACCGAACCCCTAAACCCCGCATACCGAACCCCACCACGCCACAACCCCCCGCGCCCCCAACCCCGAAACCTTACAGGCCGAAGCGGCGGCGCACATAGTCCGCCATGGATACGACGGACGGCACGAGACGGTGGATGACCGCGCCGAACCACGCCACTATGATGATAGGCAGGCCTGCTGATATCGCGTACATGATCATCCCCAGCGTGCCCGCGTACGAGCAGTACGACGGCGGCGTGAACAGCGCCCACGACCCCATCGCGCCCGCGTAGAACGACCTGCGCGGAGGTGGGAAGGGGAAAGGGAAAGGGGGAAGGGGAGGAAGGCGAGGCGGAAGGGGAAGGGGAAAGGAGTGGTTTGTTAAGGCGAACGGAGAAGCGCCCATCGCACCAGCGGCAAACGGAAATGGACAGGGGGTATATGGACGGGGGGGTTCCCGGGTTCGGGGTTTACGGGAGGGTGACTGGAGGCGTCGCGAATGGCGCCTTCCCGCGATGTCCGGAAGGCCCGCGCAACGAGTAGCACAACCACAGGACCACCGGCACTGGTCGTGGGAAACCCGTGTCGGTTTGAGGAGCGCCCCGCTGCGACACGTGGCCGGCAAAGCGCTCACCTGCCTCATGCACAGCGCGCCGCTGCGAGCCGCTGCAGCTTTTCCGCAAGTGCCGCGCAGTGGCCACGATCGCCATTGTCTTGCCACGCGACGGTGAGCATGGGAACGGGGTTACCACGCGATGGTCGCGATCACCGTTGACTTACCAAGCAATGGGCGCGAGCACCGTTGACTTCCAAGCAATGGGCGCGAGCACCGTTGACTTCCAAGCAATGGGCGCGAGCACCGTTGACTTACCAAGCAATGGGCGCGAGCACCGTTGACTTACCAAGCAATGGGCGCGAGCACCGTTGACTTACCAAGCAATGGGCGCGATCACCGTTGACTTACCAAGCAATGGGCGCGATCACCGTTGACTTACCACGCGATGGTGAGCATGGGAACCGATTTGCGCGCCGTGAGGAAGAAGTCGGGCGTGTCGGGGCCGCCCTGCTTCATCTCGCGGTACACCGCGAACGCGCACGCGCCCGCGCCGAACAGCACCACGGCCAGCACGCCGAACGTGTACGCGAGCACTTCCAGCGACGCCATGGCTCGCTAAGTGCGGCACGTCAAGTGTAACTCTCACTGAAGCGCTAAGTGCGGCTCGTCAGAGGCCACGCTAATGCGTTGGTGCTGCTCGTCGCCCGTAGCTTCTTGGGCGGATATCGCTCTGTCTGGCGAGGTTTATGTTTTTTTCAGCGGTTTTTTCAGGCGACTCCAAGACATGCGCAGACCCCGCCAAAGTCAACGTGAATTGAGTCACTAGGAGCCTATATAATGTTGCTGGAAATGTTTCTTTGTAAGCAACGGTGGTTGATAAATAATGTGGGGTGGCCCAAGTCCGCCACGTGCAAAAAGCAGCTGGAAAATGGCGGCTCTGCTGAAGGAAAAGTGCAGTAAATTGCGGGTGTACGTGCTCCCCAGCGCAACCAAGCACAGCTGCAATGCACGCAAATACAACGTGGCCGACAGGAGGGTGGGTGGGTGGGGGGGGGGGGGGGGGGGGGGGAGGGGGGGAAGAGGGGGAAGGGGGGGAAGGGGGGGAAGGGGGGGAAGGGGGGGAAGGGGGGGAAGGGGGGGAAGGGGGGGAAGGGGGGGAAGGGGGGGAAGGGGGGGAAGGGGGGGAAGGGGGGGAAGGGAGGGAAAGGGAGTTGGATTTTTACGGGAGGGGGTGGGGTGGGGGGACAGCTGTCGCTTGGTCTTGACAAGGGCGGCAAACCTCAAGCTTGCGGGACTTCAATTCAAACCAACAAAACCGAAAGGGGGAACAAGACAGGCGGGAGCTTGCAGGGCAGGCGGGGGTGAAAGTGGCGCGCACACACGTCTAGCCTCTGGAAAAACGAAGAGGCATTACTGTACACATTGTGCACTTCCTGATGATAGCTGTCCAACCAACAATTAGCCCGCGGCTCGAGATAGAAAGCATATGTACAGTCACATTGCAGGGTGTTCACGCGTTCGATACACGGTTGATCTGACGGCATACAAAAATAGCAGCTGTGATCAACGAACAAAACTCTTGCTGCGGCAAGCTCTCACCCGGTCGCTAATTACCTAACCTTCATTGGTTCGGCTGGGACAATCAGCCCCCTGGAAAAGGGGAGATGAGATATTCATGCGAAGCCAGCGTGGCGCCGCCAAACCGACAGAGCTGCTGTGTAGAGATGTAAATCCTCCTTAGCAGAAGCACCGGTGAGCGCTACAAGTGCTTTATGGATGTTTTGAAAGAGTAGCATGGACCAAGATAAACCAGACTAAATAACATAAAACTACACCAAAAAAAGACAGCCCAAGCATATTAAAATCCGTATAGTAAATATGGTCCTTCATTCGAGATAGTTATGCTGCTATTTCACTTCCCAAGCCCCTTTTCTCTCCCCCTCCCTCCTCATGAACACCCCCCTCACTCGCCGCGCCACATTGAATGCCGACAGCGCCAGCAGCAGTGCGACTCCCAGCCCTCCACGCTCTTCCACGGCGTCTGCCAGTGGTGGACGGAATGAGGGGGACGGCCCCATCCAATGCGCTGCGCTGATGGACGCATGGGCTGTGGCTCCCCGGGTGAAAGCTCCCCCCATGCCACCACATGTAGCACCAGTTGTAGCACCAGCTGTAGCGCCAGTGATTCCAGTAGCGCCAGTGATTCCAGTAGCACCAGCTGTAGCATGACCTGACGCGACCTCCTCAACCCCATCCGCCGACGCAATAGTCGCAAGCGGCGCAGCAACCTTCATCGCCGAAGCAGCCGCCGAAGCAGCTGCCACGCCTGCAGTCACCGCCGGACCTGCACCGTGCCCGCCTTCCCCTCCACCCCCACGAGCCGGCAGGAAAAACAGCGGAGAGAGACCCATCAAGCCGCCCACAGTGACTCCCAAAACGGCGCCGACAGTGGCGAAGAGCTGGGCTTTGGGGTGCTCGAGCTGGTGCGAGGAGAAGGTGGAGCCGGGCAGCAGCTTGGAGGAGGATGATTCTATGGCTCCCCGTGACCACGTGCCTATCACGTCCGCCACTGCATTGCCCAGACCCGCCGCCTGATGGGGGTGGGAGAAAGGGGAGGCACGCTTGAGGCTTATCCAAGGCATACGAGGGTTGGCAAAGGCTGGTTCGGGTTCCCAACCGAAGGAGCTGATGTGACTGTACAAGGGTAGTTGGAAAGCAGCTAAAGAGGGACTGTAGGGCATTATGACTTTCAGCGGACCCCAGCTGACTCAATGGGAGGGCTGACTGCTTTGCCTGCATCCCCTTTCCAAGGCTTACCATGAGCGTGGAAAACCCGAAGGTGGCTCCAAGCGTACTCGCTATAAAGTCGCCTGATATAATCATCACCGTGTTCTCTGCGAAAGAATAAAGAACCCATGAATAGAGGATGTGACCGGGGAATTGGGAAGGGGAGTGGAGGCGGGGAAAGTGGGGAAGAAGGGGTGAGAGGGGAGTGGGTGAGCATTCCAGAGTAAGTGAGAGAGATACGCTGCAGGAGAAGCTGGGGGCTACCTAAAACACCATTCTTCTGAACGTGACGACTGCTCTAGACTGTCCATTTGTGGGATAAGCCACGTCATTATAAATTGGTTATGAAACGTCTCACAACCAGTTTATTGTCAAGTGGCGATTACCGTTACCTCACAAGCATCCAGAAAACCAGCAGTCCTAGTCACCTGATCTGTTCATACTAAAACCGATCCATCCGTGACCTAGCCCGCTTGCCGAGTCTCCCACCACCTCCCACTTTCTCCTCCCCCTGTATCTCTATCCCACCCGTCCCCCCCAGAGCGCTTACTTGTGAGTCCGAAGCCCAAGTTGCCTGCGTGCAGCGGCGCGTAGAGTCCAACATGCCGGGGGAAGGGGGGAGTGGGGGGAGGGTGAGGGGGAAAGGGGGGAGGGGTGGGGGAGGGGAGAGATAAATGGAGGGAGAAACGAGAGGGGAACGACGGGGAAGCGGAGGGGAGAGAAGGGGACAAATTAATGAGCAACGGTAGGAGAACTCATTTGCTTGTCATAACACCTCTCATCAAACTCGCATGTCTGTCTCCACACGCAATATCACACACGCACCAAGCGCCTCCTTCTTGCCGAGCAGCGCGAGCTGTGGGAAGTCAAGCGCGTGCAGCGCACAGTTCTTGGCTTGCTGCTCTCACCACAACTCACCACCGCTCACCACCGCTCACCACCGCTCACCACCGCGCGCTAGCATTCAGTACCATTCGCATGCCTACCACACATACGACCACACACGCACCGAGCGCCTCCTTCTTGGCGAGCAGCGCGAGCTGCGGGAAGTCGAGCGGGCGGTGCAGCGCGTCGATCTTGGCCTGCTGCTCGCCCACGTACTGCTCGAACTCGCCCTCGCTGATCACCCCGTCGTGATGCGCGTCCGCGTGCTCAAACTCCTCCTCCGCCTCCGCGCTGTTCGCTGCGCGCACACAGTCACGCACACGGACACAACCGAGTGAACGTTTGAGTTGAAGGAGCACGATGAAGATTCTACCGCTGGCACCGACTGCTGGTGCTGATTACTCCGTCGTGACGCGCCTCCGCGTGCTCCAACTTGCTCTTCTGCTCTCGAGTTTCCGACGTTCGCGTATTTCGCGGGGACAATCTAGTAATGTCGACTCGAAAGGCATTCGCGTACCTCCCGGGAAGAGCGCTGTGAGCAGCACTTCGCGCCCCTGCGGGCTCAGCTGTCGCACGAGCTCGATCGCCGCCACCTCGCCGATCGTCGTCCCCTCCTTCACGCTCGCTGCAGCCGCGCGCTCCTCATCTTCGTTATGGTGCGCTTCTTTACTGTGCTGCTCGTGGTGATGGTGTTCGCGAAAGTCGTAGCTTCGCGGCTTCGATAAGAGCCGCGCGACGTCCGCCACCACCGCCCGCTGGTCCGGCTGCTCCAACAAAGGAGCTCCCGCAGAATCTGCCGACGTTCCCGCGAATGCCGCCGACACGTTAAATCCGGCTCGGTGCGGCCGTGGAGTCTGCGGGCCGCCTCGCGAGACGCGGGAACGAGAAATGGTTCGCCGCAAAACCGGAGCGGAGGGGGAAATTCGATCTAGCGGCGCCAGCCGTGATCTTTGAGAAGAAGTCGCCCGTGGCGGCGCTGGTCGATGTGTTACGCCGCGTTTCGCTGCGGCGATAGGCCCTAACGTCGCGGTCGTGGCTGCCATGCTGTCTGCTTTCTTGAAGGGATGCGCCAAGGAGCGATTGCTTATGGTGCAGCAATCGCCAGTGAATCGTCTCTTTGGGCAAAAATAAGTCGTTTCCAACGTGGAGTTCTTAGTGCCGTATGTCTATCAAACTTGTTTTTCTAAGTAGAGGTGCAATATGATACTCTGTATACTACTGTCATCCGACGGTATGAGCCATATTGCTGATCCTCGACCCACGCGCAAAAGTTGCGTTCAATTTCGTTCCTCCTCGTCGTTGGGGAACACTGCAAGCTGCGCGGACGAATGCTTCTGGGCTGCGGACCTGTGATCGCGCAAATCTGGCCTGGGGTTCTGCGGTTTGAACGAAGATTTGAAATCGAGGCGCGCGTTTGGTTCTCTCCTTCGGTTGGGTTGAATTTGAGCTGCACGTGCGATGCGAAGCGTGCGAGCTGGTACATGGGGGATGCGAACGGGTGAGGTGTACCGCGGAAATAGGGAACCTACGCTCGTGCGACGTTGCTGATTAGTTGGGAACGGGTTGACTTTCTTTCTGCAAGCATTCCCTCATTTTGAAAGTTCAGGATTTTGCTGCGATTGGAGGATCTGTACCAACTTTATGGGCTCGACCCGATATTTTTGCGCCAACAAGGAGTCAGGACGTGTTTTCAGGTCCCGACGCGTGTAAACGACAAATTTGACACGACCCAGCCACGCTGGTTCTCGTCTTGATCGACGCTGGCTATCCAAGATGTCCAGTCAGAAAATCATCACTTTCGTATGGGAAAATTTCATGCCTTTCTTCCGAAGCTCAGTGATTCCCCGAACCTAGTCTACACCAATCATCGCTTCGTAGGAACAGGCGCCTCTCACCAAACCTCGCTTCTCTACACGCCCCCAGCCCATGATTCCTCTGCCAAGCCCCACCAAGTCCCACCAAGCCCCCCTGAGCCCCCGCTATCTCAAGCGCGAGAAGCTCCGCCCGAACATTTGCAGCTGGCACTGACTAAACAACGGTCCAGCCCTTCATCACACCCACCTCGGCTTTTCCTTGGACTAGAACACGCCGAAGAATACGGAGCTAAGAGGTTTGTCTAGTTTGCTCTAGATTATTACATATACGTTTTCTGAACATACGCTAGGCTCTGCTGAGTATAATCCTCGCCGACCATGGCTACCGCGCTAAGTCAAAGCCTAGCCGTACAAGCAATTAAAGTAGTCCCCAATGGACGTTTTTCCACATTTTCACCCAGATTCGAAAGACCGGTGGGCCGATTCCCACACCGCCTTCGCCGCTCACTCATTCTCCGCGCGTCGAACGAAACCAGCAGCAGCGCGCCGAGCGTCGGCGAAGGCGGCGCGACATCTGTGGAGCTGCTGGAGCCCGAGCACGAAGAGCAGCTTGCTGAGGTGGCACGGCTGCTCTCTGTCGCCACGTCACCCTCGGGGAGTGTCGGCAATGGAAGCGGCGGCGCGGACTTGCGGCTCGGCGAGGCCGCGGCGGGGGAGCTCGTCCGCCAGCTCGATACCGCCGGGCGCGCGGCGCTTCTGACGGCGCTATTTCCGGGATGTGCGTGTTCTTTTTTCCGTCGCTGCAATCCTCTCGTGTCGTCTGTCGACCCCCACGCGTCTGTCCCGCTGTCCTTCGCGACCTCAGTCCGTCTCGTCGTCCTATTCGTGCCCGCGTGCTCTCCATCCCCCATAACCCCTCATCCCATTCTCGCATCTGGTCTCATTCCCGCTCCCTCCCTTTCGCATGCAGCGACGGAGAAGCACGACGCGGCGCAGGAGTTTCAGGCGGCAGACGTGAACCACGACGGCGTGCTGGACGCGCGCGAGTTCGCGACGTACGTCGAGGCGCAGAACGCCAAGATGGCGGCCGCCGACCGCCCGCTCAACCTGCACCAGCTCGGCCTGCTCGCCACGCGCTCCGCTTTAGGTGCGACCCGCCACTTGCTCCGTTATAGGTGTGCTCGGAAACAGCTATAGGTTGTTGAATGGATAGAGGGCGAAGCTCGTTCAAATTTTCTATTTGTTTTTCCAACAGCGTAGCCACATAGCAGAACATGGTTCACCGTGTTTACTTCCGACGGGGTTTGAATGAATCACGTTCCGAAGGAACCGTGTGAGGGCTTGAGTCCGCGCCTCTCTCCCTTCACCCTCTCACCTCCACCTCCCTTCTCCTCTCCCCATTCTTCCTCCTCTTCCTCCCCTCCTTCCCTCCCCCATACTGCAGGCAACATCGGGTTCGGCGTGACAGGTGAGAGGCGTGGGGCAGGGAAAGGGATGGGGAGGGGGAGAGAGGAGGAGAGGGGGAGGTGAATAGATGGGGAGGGGAAGAAAGGGGAGGGGACGGAGGCGAGGTGGGGTGGGTGGGCGAAGAAGTGAGAGCAGCGGGGAGTAAGGGGAAAGAGGGGAAACCAGAAGTAGGTATGGGTGGGAGAGGAGCAGGCGAAAGCGGTGGGGGAGAAGAGGGGCTGGGGAATATAGTGAGGTATATCATGCGTGACGAGCAATTGTGGGTCAATAGCAGGGCGGCATGGAGAGGGCGCAGGGTGCTGAGTGGAGATTGGTAAGATGTGGTGAAATGCAATATGGCTTTTTGGGCAGCAAACAATGCCGATCATGGCTCACGTTGAAATGTGCACCTCAAAGGGGTGACTGAGCTAACACGATTGGTCAAGCATTCGCAAATGCTACCTACTTGAAGTTTTCTTTTTGTCTCCTTATCGTTTGGAACCCCACCGTTTGATCGTGCCTCACTTTTGGAATGTGCCTCACTGTGTCCCTGCCCCGCATGGCATGGCATGGCATGGCATGGCATGGTATGCGATGGCATGGCATGGCATGGCATGCTATGCGACGGCATGGTATGCGACGGCATGGTATGCGACGGCATGGCATGGCATGGCAGACAACACCATCATGCTCATCGCTGGAGACATCATTGAAGGCACGCTGGGCGCAGCCTTTGGCATATCCACTCTCATGGTGCGCCCTCGCATGCCCTGTGCCCCTCTTAGAGTTGCCTCTCTTCGTACATTGCTCCCGTTTTTTACCACACTCGCTCATCGCTGCCTTAGGCATCTCCACTCTCATGGTGCGTCCACGCATGCATGCCCTGTGCCCTTTTCGTGGATGGCGTCTCGTGAATGGCATCTCGTGGATGGCCACCATATGCCCGCTCGCTCGCCTACTGCACCACCACTTTCACGCCATCATTCATCCCCCTGCAGCCCACCCTCATATCCCCATCCATTACAACGGATATTCCATTCCTCACCACGCCTCTCTGCCTATCCTCCATTCTTTCCCCCTTTCTCCGCCGCTGCTCCGCCCCACCCATCCCAGCAAGGCAGTGGGGCTGGGCACGCGGTGGCAGACATAGTGGGGACGGACTTCCCCGAGGGCATTGAGGCTGGGGGGGCAATGAGGCGGCGGGGCTGGGCACGCTCTTCCGAGGGTACATCGAGGTGACTTTTGAGTTGACTCTAAAGGATCCCCCCTTCCGCCTCTTCCCTTCTCTTCCCCCGTTCGCAGGCGGCGGGGCTGGGCAACGCGGTGTCGGACATAGTGGGGACGGTGTTCCGTGAATACATAGAGGGCGCTACAGGCCGATTCCTGCCGGATGTTAACTTCTCCTCCAAGCAGCTTGCAGATTCCCGCGCGCGGTGGGCGGAGACGGGCGGCGCAACTGTCGGGGTGACCATCGGGTGCCTCATGGGGCTGGCGCCCCTGCTGGTGCTGCCTCAGAGAAAGTGCCACTCAGGGGGCGAGGGAGGGGGGCCGGCATCTGCTGCTGCTGCTGCTGGGGTGCCTGTACCAGTGGCTACAGTGGCGCTGGTGGCATGTGAGGAAGGGCTTACTGATGTGGCCGCTGCTGGTGCTGCGGATAAGGCAGTTGAAGAAAAAATTGGAGACTTGGGTAAAACAGCTGGCGCTACAGGTGGTGGCATGCGAGGTGCATTCACCCAGAGCGCTACAGCCCATGCGTCCATCAGCGCTGCGCATTGGATGGGACCGTCCCCCTCGTTCCGCCCATCCCTGGCAGGTGCCGCCGAAGAGCGTGGAGGGCTGGGAGTCGCACTTCTGCTGGCGCTGTCGGCATTCAATGTGGCGCGGCGAGTGAGGGGGGTGTTCATGAGGAGGGAGGGGGAGAGAAGGGATGGGGAGAGAGTAGGTGACGAGGAGCGTCAATCCTAAAATAAATTGTACCTTACCAGATATTGCTGTGTGACCGTGTTTTTGTTATCTAAAATTGCTATGCTTGATAGGAATGGTGTACAGAATTGGAAATAGCCTCAATATCGCACTCTGCGAAATCTATTGTCTCAGCACCGTTTGTACACCATTAGTTGTGTAGAGTGTATGTCTGTGGATGGACAGGCTTGAGCCAGGTGGCTCCAATCGGCGTCTCTCACATGACCTTTTAATCTGGGAAGAGTTACCAGCGCGTGTGTGAGCCGTCTAACAGCTAGCAAGGGGCCACCACGGGTCGATGACATGGACGCAACAAAGGTAGCAGCCTCCTCTCTGCCACGTCGATTGAATGACTTGGCATGATGCGAATTGAGATGCTGCCATGGATGGACGAGGCTTCACAACAAGAACCAGATCCTTCCAGCCAACCACCATCGCGCACTCTGATTCGCTCCCGAAATTCTGCATGTTTTTGGTTTGTGACATGTCCATTTTGAAAATATTTATAGGAAACCCCACCGTAAGTTCCTCCTGGCCTAAAAAGAAATGTGCAATATTACTTGTTCCAGCAGTCAGCTGCAGCAGCAAAGCTGTAATGGTTAACCCTAGTTTTACAACACAGCCTCTGTGAGGGTTCCAGTTTCAGGATTTACAGTTGCATCATTTACCCATTCTCCTGAATTGCAAGCCAGAGTGGAAAAAAACAACTGAATCCTCCTTGGCCGATACTGAAACCACATGGCCCAATCATCGTGGAGTCGTTTATGGAGCACCAACAAGAACAGCAGTAAAGATTTCAATAATGGACCTTCCGAGCGATCTCTGCCACAAACTCGCGGACCTTTCCACGTCGACAAGTTCCATGACCGTCAAATTTTACCTGCGCTTCGGATAATTCTCCTTCGATTGCATTCCGCGGTTCGGTGGTCGTTGGAATGTCAAATTTCACTGCACCACCAACCTCCCCCGCCTTCCCTTCCCTTCCTCTCCAAGTGCGTGACCGACTGTACACTGTAAATGAGCGCGCTGAGCATTGGGCATCGCTCGTCACTTCGGTCCCACTAGCCGATCAGTCCCGTCATCTTGCAAGCCATCGTGCCAGCAACAGAGAAAACGGCAGTTGCATAGCCATCACTGTGCGAGCTGAGACAGCGCGGCAGCATACAGACTTCGGCTTGTGCAGGCCCACGCGCGCCAGTGCAACTAGACCTGTTCAAGCGTCCTTGTTCTACAGCTTCGGTTTGGCGCGCAGCGCGCATGTTTTTGGAGCGTATCACCTAGCTTGTGGTCACAACGCTGCCGCACCGTGTTTGATTGGGAGGGGTGATACGGAGGAGCAATGAATCGCATTTAATGTCGAGCATTTATCATCGTCATTTCAAAAATCCGCTTCCTCACGCCGCTCTCACAGGCTCGCCCCCCGCGAAATCCGCGCGTGAAACATTCGAGCTTGGGCTCCACCGCGCCTTACATGCAGCCTACATTCGAGTAGAAGGCTCTTCACTCCGTTCCTACAGTTAGTGCAAAACGCTCTCCATGTCTGTTCAACGCCTGTGCTCGTTCGCATCGTCCGATAAATGCTGCAAGTCACGCGTCAAAACAGCTCCGTATATGTGAGCGCTGATCAATCGTAGAATCCCTCAGTGGTGAAACGTAGTTTCTCTTCTTCAGGAGCAGCGCTGATAGCATCGAAGAAGGTGGCGCCACAACTCACCATATACCGCTTCTCATCGCCATAACTTTTTTCTGAGCTGGTGTTAGCTTTTCAGAAATCTCAAAAGTCGCATTTTAGGCCTTCGGCAGTACTTATTCCGAAGAAGCGGGATCAGCCGCACGATGGATTTGGAGCATGTGGCGATGAAAATGGCCGTCGCCGGCCTCACCGCGAAGGATCCTTCGGCCGTTACGCTTCCCTCCTTCGCCTCCATCGCATCATCGTCGTCGCACCAGCATGCGATCATGAGTCATGCGTGCGCGTCGCACGCCAATCATAGCGCTCTCAGATCGCACGGCGTTCCGACGACGGTCTGTCGTGGAACCGCGTGCGACTATCACGGCGTCGCACGCTCGTGCCGCGCGCAACGACCCATGCGATCATGGGCGAAGCGCCGGTGCTCCAAATCCATGCTCTCGCCTCACCAATCCTGCGGCGTCGACTGCTCACAATCTTCCAGAACATCCTGCTGCGGCGCCGCCTGCTGCGGTTGCCACGGCGTGTCCTGCGGCGCGTCGCGCAGCTGCGTGAACCACGCAGCGGCGTCTGCGGCACCACATGCTGGATCCGGATGCGGCGGCTACGGAGCCTCCTGTCAGCCTCAGCCTATCAAACGGCGGCGCTCGCTGTTGTCACTTGCCAGCTCAGCGGCGTCCACGTCACCCCTGCATGACGAGCATCAACATCCACGTCAGCAGCTACTCTCAGCGCAACACGCGTTGATGAATCTCGAGAATTTCGACGAACCCCGCTCCGCGACAGGCGGCGTGATCGGCGCTACGAGGCGTCCAATCGACGCGAGGGGCTCGCCTCTGCGACATTCCGGCAGTTTCACATCCCGCCGTCGCCCAGGGAGTTCGCGACTCAAAGCGATGTGGGGATCCGCGAACACCAGTCCGGTAACTTCTGTAACAACCCAGTCGCAGTCGCCCACCGTAAGCGACGAGATTGGGAGCATCAGCAGAGGCACGGGACTGGTGGCTAGAGGAGTGTGGGGTGGTGAAGCTGGTTTGGAGGGAGTCAATGGCGGTAATGGCGAGACAAGGTTTGGAGGCTTCCCATCCACCTGCTCGGCTCCCAACCTTCACGCGCCCACCCAAGCGCTGAAGTTTTCCTCGTCACAATCGGACTCAATAAAAGCCCACCCAATGTTACGGAGTCAGCAACCGCAGGCGCTGATGCAGCAACTGCTTCAGCTTCAACAGGCCGATCCGTCACCCTCACACTCTCACCCGTCTGGTGCTGCTGGCGGAGCTGGCACAACGGATGCAGGCGGAGTGGCAGGAGTGAAGGGAGCATTGGGAGAAGCTGGAGCACTGGGAGCAGCAAGTGCTGCAGTGACAGCCATGGCTCAGCAGCTCTCCGCCTCTACGCTTCACGGAACCCAGCGCCCCCTTCAGTCTGCCCTGCGCGCGGACCGCCGGCAGCTTTTCGACAGCCTCTGGTTGGAGGACAGCGATTCGCTCGCCTCGCCTGCATGCGCCGCGGAGGCTCCGGCTATCAGCGGTGCTGGCAAGCGGTCGTGGGGGCGACCTGTGAAGGACACGTGGTGGAAGCAGCAGGAGCAGTTACAGGTGCAGCAGCAGCAGCAGCATGTGCGGAAGCAGTTCGAGGTGCAGCAGGAGAAGAAGGCAAGCAAGGCGGCTGCTGCTCTGGCAGCCAAGGACGGGCTGGCTCAACTCGAAGCGTTCATGGAAGCTTCCATGGGAAGAACAGCGCATTCCAACATTGCTCAGGAGGAGGAGGATCTGAGATCGCTGGAGGTGGTGGTCATGGGGCTTCAGAGTGCATGCCTGCAGGGAATGGATTCTGCCGCTGCCGCTGCTGCTCCTGCTGCTCCAACTACTATGAACGAGCCTGGGGCAAGTGAGCATGCTGCTCTTGCTCAAGACAAACACGCTGCTGCTTGTGAACTGGCAACAGTTGACCTGGAGCTCAGGCTCTAAGAGGGGTGCTGCTGAAAGTCAACATGTTGAGCAGATGTACCGTATTCTCCCGGATAAAACACCCCCCCGTAATTGTACACCCCCGGGTAGCTTATACGGGGTGGGTGTTACATTCGATCCCGTTATTACTATACCCCCCTTTTTGGGGTGATTCTCTCTAACACCCCCCTTTTCTTATAGATTTCTATTATAGCTGTTATCGAGTCCGATTCCTTACGGGACAATATCGCGAAAATCACTCCCTAGAAGAAATTCCGCATGTGCTTTCACTTAGAATCAGCCGAGATATCCCCCCTCCCACAATCTCGCTGTCGCCACGCTGGTGAATTCCTAAATCTCGCTGTCACCACGCCATCTTCCACTTCAAGTGGTCCAAGAGGTGAAGTGGCCCAAGTGGCCCACAATATCCTCGTACTCGGTTTTGCGGCATTGATCAACAATCTTGAAGTGAAGTCAGACCCCTGGATTTTGTTTCACATCTTTTCTGTTTTATAAAAGATATACAGTATCATAAGACACAGGTATTGTATAGGGTTTACCTTTGAGGAGACCCCCCCCCCCCCCCCCCCCCCCCCATTTTTTTCCAGTGGTTTTCATAATACCCTAGGGTGTTTTATCCGGGAGAATACGGGTAGGTCAAGTTTTCCCCCCCGTGGTTCTAGTTTTTGCCCGTGTAAGGTATGGTAGCTTTTGCTCGTGTGAGGTACGGTAGTTTTTGCCTGGTCAAGGCTCTAGTTTGTGCACGGTTGTTAGCTTTTTTGCCCATACTGCTGCTGCGCTGCAGTAGGGTTAAGCAATGTACCATATGAGAGTAAAATGTTTTGATTTGAACAGCAGTGTTAAAGGAAAAGCCATCCACAACCACAACACAACACGAGATGGAACACAACTTGTAAACTAACTGCATACAGACCCCAAGGCTGGCCATACTGCTGACCCCAGCCTCAACTTTTACAATCATCAGCTACAAGATTGTGGGGGGAATCACAGAGCCTTGTCCCACCCACCACTGTACCTTGCACCCCACTCCACCACTTCTATCTGCCTTGCACCACGCGCTGCAGCAGAGCAGAGCCCTTCTCCACTGAGGAACGATCTTCATGAACTGGGCATGGCATTCTTTGCTGTATCACACAGCCAGCTTGCTGCTACTCCATCACTTACAAGGCTATCCGCCTCCCCCCCTACACGCGCTCACGGCCAAGGCGTAGCTTTTAAGGCAACTTTGAGAAGTCACGATGACAGCGCTGCTGCTCACCCATCTACAGTACAAGGCCATTCCGATTCCCCTGACACACACCCAGGGCCGATGCGTAGCTGTGGAATCGACTTGGAGGAGTCAC